TTATTTGTACATCATTTTACTCACTTAAGGGACACACTTCATCTAAGGCCTCTATCGTCCCTTAGCTTGACAAAGGGTGTAAAAAGGGAGTAGATAATTGAAGTTATTTGACAAATTAAGAGTGTTTAAAATTTTACAACTAACAGTACGAAGAAAACAAAGTCTTGTTTTCATTAGAAGACAAACAATAAACACACACTCCAAAATAGAGTTCTACCTGTTATATCTGCTGCTACTACTCTAATATATCTAATACTAAATTTTTTGTATCACTCAACTTCTTTTTCTTTTGTTTGATCAAACAGTTATTGTAGAGTTAATACATATTTTGGATTAGTTTACATTACAAATAATGTTACTCATTAATGAATAAACCTAACTCAAAACTTTCATAAAAAGTTAAAAAGATTATATCTAATTTTTGCACATATAATATATATATTAATGTTAGTAAATTTAACTACACATTATTCTATATAAATAAGTACGACTAAAAAATAAATTGAAAGAGTATTTGATCAATAATTATAAGCTTTAACGTGGTAATGGCAACAGATAGTCTTACATGCATTAAATCTACCTCTATGTTTATTAAAAATATAATAATTAAATAATATATAATACATATGTTAATGTTTATAAATGCAGATACTATTATAATAAAATAAATTAGGATATCACATAAATTAAAAAAAAAATTAATTGCAAGAATTTATTCAAATCACTAATAAAAATGTGATACATAATTATATTAATAATTATATATTCTAATATATGTTATTTCACATAAAGAATTGAGAATATTAGATAAGATAATAGAGTATTAAATAAAATATATTGACGTGATTCGAAGTATTAATAGTAATAATAATAATAATAAAATATAAAATCCTAATTGATTAATAGAAAAAGCCTTGTTGTACACATAAACAAATCAAGAAAATTAAAATTTTAACAATTAAATGAAAAATGTGAAGTTTTAAGTAAAATCATTCACAACCTTTAAACAGTTTCAGAGTAATTAAAAATGATTATTGTCATTAATGTAATCCATATATTATAAGGCATAATCTAAATAGAAATAAAATAATGGGTCCATTTCCCATATTATCTCATTCTAAAAATAGAAGAGAACTTTTTATCTAATAAAAAACAATAACAATTTGTTTAATGGTTACTTAATCACAATATTTTTATAAATACGGAATTCTTTAATATATAAATTCACAGCTTAATTCGTGTAGTTACTTAATTCAAAAGGTGAAGATTATAATGAGACATATTGAATTTAGAGAATGTTTGAAATTATTTGTTTATAATTAAAATTTTTGCATTTATTAACGTAAAAAAAACATAGTAATTTAACAAAGTGAAAAATAAGCATATCATTTTATTTTATTTTGAACAAATTACTTATGAATAACAACTATATATTTATATATAAATTCTCTTAATTGCGAAGGTGAAACATCAAATCTATTGTATGACAATAACATTCCACCACCTCGGGTAAAGAACTTCTCCGCAACCAGTGGTAGATTCGTAAAAAAGCTAAGGATGAAGGTCAAAGACATGGAGGCGTGATTCGGGTGAATTGTAATCTCTGTATAATCTCGGCTTTGTAGACTTAAAACACATTGTTTGTGGTGACCACGAATGTCCAAGTAGCCAGCCAGCCCACCCTTTCTTCTTGGACCCCAGCTTGACCAATCAAGAAAAAAAATTACAGAGCCATCAAATTTAGAGAGAGAAACACAGAGGATGATGATGATGATGATGATGATGATGATGCTGCTTTAAGAGCTTTTACTTTATATATAAACTACACAACGCTTCATTTCCTAGAGAGAGAAGCAAATTACTAAATCTTAAAAATTACAATAACAAGAAGAAGAAAATTTGGAAAGAGGAAAGTTTTTCAGGACACCAGGAAGATCATTCACACCTTTCTTTGCTTCTTTTTATCGTCTTTTTCTCCAGCTTCAATTCGGACATACTCCTCGGAAGACTATCTTTTTTTGTTCGAGGAAATCATCTTGGGAATGCTTTTACAACTTCTACCTCTTTCTGTATCCGATCTGACTTGCTTACTCCACCTTCCTTCTGCTGCTGCTTTCCTCGGATGAGTTAGAGGAGAAGATCGCCGTGTACAATCGCCATGGTAACCTCCGGAGGAACATTTTTTTGCTTGTTTTCTTTGTCCTTTTGATCGGCCGATTTCTTTGACTGATCGATTTGCTTAGTTGAATCCGTTAAGCGTGTTTTTCTCTGATCCTTCTTATTTTCTTATATTTTATCTTTTTTTATATTACGTGAAATTTGAACTTGTATTAGTTCTTTCTTAAGTTAAATCATTTCAAACTTTAGCAATCTTTTTTATATGTGATTTTGTTTTTTTGAATATCATGCTTTGACAAGTATGTAGTTGCTTTAGATTTATATTGCAAAATTTTTATCCTCTAAATTTGTTAATTGTTTTTTTACGGCGCGGGAAGAATGTAGGATGGATAAACTGGAATTTCTGAACTTCAATCACACATGTTATATTATTCTGACTTTCAAACATTATACTAATTTTCTGAGCGGATTATGTTCAAATTAAGAATTTAGGATTAAAATGAGCTAACTGACAATCTCCATTTGTTATTGGGTTACATGTGTAACTGATGAACAAGATAAAAAAGACTATATTAGCACTTGACCGATCGTGTTCTCTAAGAAGGGAAAATAATTTTCCTTAGAAAAGACTTATGCAAGGACCTGAAAACTGAAAGAGTTTGACTCTATTTTTCTTTTCTCTATTAAAAAAAATATGTTTTATGTGTTATAAAATTAACACAGTAATGGAAATGTTGGGTGATGGTCACATTCACCTGCAGTTGCTGGGATGCATTGTCTAACAGGATATTAACATTCTCGGTTGGAAGATTGTTCATGCATAGTGGTAGTAATGTTTTGTGATGGAAACTTTGGCTTTGAGGGACTCGAGGGATAAGTTCAGAACCTTCAACTATTGGCTAGGTCCCACAGATGGCCCTTATGCCGGCACAAATGATATTTGACGGTACATCAATATGTTTGATGGCTGACATTGGTGTTTCCGAGCTTATATACCTAGATATATATATATATATACATATACATGTATGTGTAGTAAATACATATATCTAGATATATTCATGCTGTTATTTTCTGGTGGTAAGTTGGGTTATAGCAGGATCTGTGAGAGAGGAGCTTTGGAGTGGAAAGGCATTCAAAGTGATAAGCAATCTGTCTGGCTTATCCCTTTGGCTACACTTTGGAAAATTAGAAAGAAAGGAATAGCAGAGTTTTTGAGGTTATGGAATTTTTGATATTTTGATAGTTTTGAAGACTCATAGTTCTAGGCCTTAAGTTCTTTGATTAGGAGCCAATCGCTATGTAGTGGCAAGGATCTTGGGGACCTTATAGAAATGTTGCTTTAGTTGTAAATATTTTTGTATACGGGTGACACTCCCTTGGTGCTCTTTGAATATGATTTTCTTTTTCTTCTCAGGAAAAAAATATTCATGCAGTGATTTGCAAGTCTGGAATGTGTAACAATTCTATGGTTTCTTTGGCCTAGTGATATCCCCTAGATTGGTGAATCTGCCTTCTTCTAGAGAATGTTTTTCTTTGCTGCATTACAGAGTTGCTGGTTGTAATGATGTATCTTATTTGGATTAAAAAGAAAAGGTTCACTACGATCAGACTCCTTCAGTATTTTGATTACAGAATTATTTTTGTCTTTTGTGACATGGATTGTTTGCAAATATAGGTAATTAGTTATGTAACCTACAGATTTTGAAAGTTTCTGTGTCAGCTACATTTTAATGCTCACACATTATGCAAAAGTTAACATTTCTTAATTTTCATCTTATGTGCTATTTGTCTGTCTAACATGATCATATATTATGCAGGCTGCCCCAGTTAATATAATAGTTGGTTCTCATGTTTGGGTAGAAGATCCTGTGCTGGCATGGGTTGATGGAGAAGTTTTCAAAATTAATGGTGAAGAAGTTCATGTTCATACCACTAATGGGAAAACTGTAAGCTACCTTTGTCGTGAGTTTGCCTGTAACCTAATCAGTTTAGTTATGTGCTTTATGATGTAAATGAAACTTCTTATAAGTGTCCAGATGTACGAGTCCAAGGCTTCCTAGTTAATTAAGTTAATTGGTTTCTAATGTAAACAGCTTTGAAACCTTTCAAATTCCAGTGTTTGGCTAAAGTTATTAATTAATTTCACATTTTCCTCTGACCAATCCGTAACTGGAACTTTACTTATACTTTCCCTCTAATTTATGGTCTTTTGACACCCTTTGTCTGAAAAACTTATGGCAGGTCGTCGAAAATATTTCGAGAGTTTTTCCAAAAGATACGGAAGCCCCTCCTGGTGGTGTTGATGACATGACAAAACTTTCCTACTTGCATGAGCCAGGAGTTCTGCATAACTTGGCCGCAAGATATGAACTTAATGAAATCTATGTAAGATACTTTAGTTCTTGTTTTATAGCCTAGGGTTCTGCATATTTATTTCATGCTAAAGTAACGTACAAGCAATATTTATGTATACATATGTTTGTTCAAATGCTGTTTCTAATATTTCATGCTGAAGTAGTATTTTTTCCCTTTTTCAGACGTACACTGGAAATATCCTGATTGCTATAAACCCATTC